GCCGAAGGACGTCTCGGAATCGTGCTGGCTGATGGGCGCGTTGAGGTTTGTCGAGGAGATGGCGGAGCCGCGGCGCCAAGCGGCGATCCAGTTCGAGCTCGAAGAGCCGAGGGGCATGGAGCCGCCACTCACGAGGCGCAGTTGGAGCAGCGGACGTTGGCGGTCATGACGCCGTTGCTGACGCCCGAGCCGGCGAGGAGCTCGAGCTGAGCGCCGTTGGTCGTGACCTGGGGCATGACTTGGCCCGAGGCCCGGCGCGGGCTGATGGTCACGTTGCCGCTGCCGTCCTGGTACATGAGGAACATGTTCGAGTTGGACATGCGCGTGCCGGTGCCGAGGCCGATCCAGGCGTACGAGTCTGGTGCTGAGATCTGGAAGTAGAGGTTGCCGGTGCCGGCTGATGCTGCCGATTCGGGTACAGCGACCTGGAAGCAGACGCCGCTGTTGCCATTGGGACAGTTCTGGATGGGGTCGGCGACGGCGCTCGTGTCTGCAAGATTGGTCAGTCTTCGGTCAAGACGTTCGTGTTATGGATGATCAAGTCTTGTGCGAAAGAGAAAGACTTACACAAGGCGGCCGCTGCCAGGGAGGAGGTGATGAAGGACTTCATCTTGGTGAGAGGATTCGAGACGTAATTGGATGGTGTGTTCGGATCACTGGTCGCAGCTGGAGGTGGTGAGTGGATGGGAGTGGTGGTGTCGGCTCTGAAGAAAAAAATAAAAAAGTGTGATCGTGAGCTGTTCCGTTCTTATATCAAAAGAGCATGAAGTCTGGATGAAGCGGAGGGTTACTCGGATATGCCAAGCCAAAGTAAAAATGCCAAGGCCGCGTGAGGCTTAACTAGAAATCAAATCTCCAGGCAACAACAATTGGGAAAACTGTAATAGAGCTAACGTTCAAGCCGGTTGACGTTGACGAGCAGATTCGTAGCGTCGTGTTCCTGACCGGGGGAGGGGATCCTGGTCCTTCTTTATCAACAATTGCACTGCACAGCCGCTGACGGGGGGAGAGCTGGACGGAGGTGTGAGAAGCCAGGGGGGGTCGCATGTGAAGGGTGTGATGGAAGGGGGGTAAGGTAGGGGTGTAAAGGTAGGGCCAGTCGTCCAGCGAGTCAAGGATGCAGGCTGACGGCTGACGGTAGCAACGCGGTATGCTTTGGGGGCTGCGGACGGGTGTGGATGTACATATACATGCGTACGTATCCAAGTAGTGTAGCGTGTATCTTAGTTGCCCTTCTTATTTCTCTATGCTTGGCAGATCGTTTCGGGAGAGTGGCTGTACTTTCGTTTCGGCACAGGGGAGGAGAAAGGAAGAAGAAGTACTGTGAGTAAGGGTGAGCAAAACGTGGGGGGGATTCCGCAAGGACGCCGAGCCAAATTGAAGCCGCTGAATGATCTGTTTTGATAGATGAAGTAATGCCCCGAGCGAAGTGAGGCAGGGAAGAGGAACGTGGCAGATGGATACGGCTGATCCGTTTATTAAGATGAGGTCTGGTCCAGCGGTGAATTTCTTTGTTCTTGTCAGGCGCGCGCCACGCTCACTGATGACACCCAGACCATCCCTTGCGAGAGAGACAGCCAGCGATGAGGAAACGGGACCCGGGCCCCAAGGCGGTTCCTCTCTGTTGCTGCAAGCGCTTTCCCCTACCCGTTTTGGCAGCGGGCGTTTGTGTTTGACCGTTGTCCGAACAGCTACCGGCGACACACGCATGTTGACGCGGCCTTGTCTCCCTCGCGCCCACGCCCCGCCCCCCCCCCCTCTGGAGAGCATACTTCGACTGCATACCGCATCAACCCCACCACATCACTGATGTGCTCGAGAGTTGCCGCAGATGAGACGAAATGTCGTTTGGGCGTTGAGCAGGTTTTGGCTTGGCGGGCAGTGTTTCGTGGGACGATCGGTACGCGATGGCACATGATGCGGGGGATGCCAAGGAGGCAGGCAGAAGGATTTCTCTTGTCTCTTGCTGCGCTAGCCGGTACATGGTACATGGGCTGGAATCGAAAACACCAAAGGCCATCGAAGCTCTTTTTCCAGACAGGCAAATGGTCCGGCGGCAGTCAACCGACACAGCCCCCAACCCTGGGTGTGTGGTGTGTGTGTTCGAGATGGGGTTGGGGGTTGGGGGTTGGGTAGCGTTCGGATCTGAGAGGGATTGGCATGGCGTCCCATACCCAAGGTAACTTACTGTACTGTACCTGCCTTACTAAGGTGTGGGTACCTTAGGTACTGAGATACGTCGCCAAGGTACCTGTGCGGGTCGGCCCAAGATGCATGGGGGGCAGGCGCTGGGGAGCGCCGGGGAGCGCTGCAAGACCGCTGCCGATTGGTATTCGGAGCGCTATGATTGGGCTGTGAGACGCAGGCCCTCCCCTGATGGCGCACGAGGAGGGAAGGAGGGGGGGGTTGAGTTGATGCACCATCAGCCGCGTGCGTGCGTGGCCTCGACCCGACTTGGCCATGTTCCGGTATGGTGCTAGCCTCAGTCAGGTCTCTTTACCCTCGGTTCTGGGTCTCGACCTAGCCTTGGTCCCCAATGTTTAGAGTTGGCAGAGTGTGTTGGTTAACTTGGCTGTGGTGCCGACGGGATGCAGGGGCCCTGCGAGACGTGCCAAAGGACTGGCAGCCAGCTGTGTGTGGTGTACATGTACATTACATTACCATGTACAGTACTTGTATGCCATTGCTGTGTAGTGGCTTGTCTCCCAACTCATCCTCCCGAAAGACCGAGGTTTAGTAGCCATGAGTAAGGTATTTGGAGTCTGCGGCTGAGATGAGGCAGGCGCTTCACTCTATCTGGCAAGTCCAATTGAAGCTGCTACTTGTACTCAGAAAGATAGCAATCACAGCATCTGTTCTCCTCTTTCCACGGGTACTCGTTCTCGTACGCACCCCATCGGCCAAACCGGCATAATGCCAACCTTGGGACCGAGACCTCGCGTTAACAATCGCCGCCGAAAGCAGGCAGGAGGAAAAAAAAAGAATCAGAGAAAAAAACAGAACAGCATCACTGATCATCAAACTCAAATCTCGACGCCAAGACTATGTGAAATGTTTTGCACGACAAGCAGCTCCTCCGGACCCTGGCACGGCAGATGGCACAGAGAAAAGGGGGGCAGTGCACGTTCAACTGCTAAGGTACCTTACCTACCTAAGGTAGTGTTCAAGGAGGTAGTGACAGCGACAGTCACAGTGAGCGTGCAAGAACGATCAGACGGTCCTCCTTCTCCATTTCACTGAGTTCCTGACCACCATTTGTCAGTGTTTGTCAACCGCGCCAATGCAACCCAGGCCACGCAACACCCCGTGCGCAGCGGCGCTGTTCGCCGCCTCTGTCGTACCCTCTAGAGTAATCTTTCGCCAGGAACCCGTCGACCTTCCTCATCCATCGCCACGGCGCATCCGTCATGCTCTTTTTCTTGCCCGCATCGGGTTTGTCCATTTTCCCGTGGGACCCCGAGCGAGAGGGCCAAGTAGAAAAGCCCCAAGCGAGAGAGCTCCAAGACCGCGCGAGTCAAGAAAAAAAAAAAAAAAAAAAAAAAAAAGCTCTTCATGCCTGAAGCTCATGAGCACATCCGTGTCTGTGTATGATGGCCGGTTTCCCAATCGGGCTGAGACTTGAATCGCATGAGATGAGATCAAGATGACAGGTCCGCCAAGCCACCCCGGACATCTCCTCGAGAGGGAGCTGAACGGACACAATTGCCATAGGCCCACGAATTGAACGTCCGAGAATGCCAAGACCGACCGGCCGTCGCATCTCTCCATGCGCGTCGTATCCCAACGCCTCTGGCAAAGAGTGTCGATCGTGTCATGTCACCCTGCGAGAGCTCCCCAGCGACCAGGGGCAGGGGAGGCGCATGCAAAAAGCTCCCGAGCGCAGCAATACAGTACCCACGAGCAAAAAAGCTTCGTAATCGGACGTCCGTTGTGCGACGGAAGTCTCGTCCAGTCGGTCATCCACGAGCCTCATGCTCGTGCTACGAGGGAAGACAAGAAGGAAAAAGAAACAGAGCTCCGACACTTTCTGTCCTAATCACGCCCCCCCCTCACCATGCTTCTCTTGTCCCCCCTTCACCTTATGTCTCGGACGAATAAGCGCAAGTGATAAAACGTCCCAGCATCAAGACATCAGAGGTGGGAAGACATCTCGCACTGCCTCTACAGCAGTGTCAGCCAGCCAGCTTGTCAATAGTCCGCTGATGACGACGAATAGTCTGATGGGATCCGGGTGAAAGATTGGGCGATCTTCTTTGCGCTGGCGCTGTCTTGTCACGTTGCTGGGGCGGAGCTGCTGCAACCCCTACCCTCTGTCCCTCTGTTCCTCCGTCTTCACGGGTGCGAACCGTTCCGGTGGGCCCTAATCCACTCTTTTTCCTGGGGTATGGCGCAACCATTCCTCCGTCACAACCTCCAAGTTCGTTCGGCCGGGTAGTGGACCTACTGTACATGTACAGCCTCGGGAAGTAGCCAGCCTCGGGAGTCCACCGCGGCGCTGGAGCAAACTCACGTCTGCCGGATGCCGGTGTTCCGTGAGACACGTCATGGCGGGATGCGAGCGGAAACGTTCTTAAACTCACACACAAGCGCACTCACTATTACCCTAATCATGACAGAAAACCCAATCCTGAATAAGACCACACAAGAAACAGATCTATTAGCCGATTACCTTCGACATCACTTTTTCTGAAACACTCGCAAGGTAGGCACAGAAGAGGGGGCCTGCCAGCTCGAGTGGATGACGTATGAGCCGCCATTCAAAGTGCTCCATGAAACGCCCTATTACAATGAATGCATCCCAAAGTGCCTGTAGGAGGCTTTTCCTTCTCTCAAGACGCCATACGAGTGCGCGTGTGAAGTACGCGTCCCATATTCCCAATGCCATCTATCCCACGTGCGACGCAGCCCCGTCTACTGATTTATTAAGCAGTGATCTGGAAAGCATGGCTGTCCAGCAGGCTGCTGGATGCAACATAACTGAAGCCCCCAAACATGTCATCCTTGCCGTCCGTAGCAGAAAAGCTGCCCCAAGGGTCCCTAGCTGTCACGACTGGGCTGACGGCCAGTTCGGTGAACTCTTCACTAAAGTTCTCGGCAAGCTCGGGATCTGTGATAAGAGGCTGAATTGGAGGCTCCATCTCCCTGGCCGCAAGTTTCGTCCAATTAATGCTGCGGAAGAATCGATGGTTTTTGAGAATCGTGAGATCCTTCGGCATGTTCGAGCCGAGGCGCTTGACTGGATCTTTCCTCAAAAGCCGCGTCAAGAGGTCCTTCGCGTCGGGACCTAAGAAGTAAGGCATAACGAGCTTTTGCTTGACAATCTTCTCTTGGATCTTGGCATTGTTCCCCCCACGGAACGGCGGGTTGCCTGTCATGAGATCGTATCCAAGCGCGCCATAAGACCACCAGTCCACCGCCTTTCCGTACTTGCGCCCTTGAATGACCTCGGGAGCCATGTACTCGACCGTCCCAAGCATCGAGTTGCACTGGTCTTCCGAGTCAACAGCTACCTTGGACAGACCAAAGTCTGTGAGGAGGAGATGGCCCTCGGCGTCAAGGAGGCAGTTCTCAGGCTTGAGATCGCGATACACCACTCCCAGGTTTGTGTGTAGGTGCGAGATTGCAAGCATCAGCTCGGCCATGTAGAACGCCGCAGCAGGCTCAGAAAACATCTTCTCCGTATTGAGGTGGGTAAAGAGCTCGCCACCCTGTCCGTACTCAAGGATAAGGTACAGCTTCTCATGGTCCTGGAAGGCATAGTACAGGTTAACTACAAAAGGGTGTCGGTTGACGGATTCGAGGATTTGGCGTTCCGTCTTCGTCTGTTCAACGAGCTTCTTGTGGACCCTGACAGATGCCTTTTTCAATTGCTTTTGCGCATAAAGCCGTCCAGTCGTGCGCTGTTTCACCAAGAGAACCGTGCCGTAGGTCCCTTTGCCAAGACAGCGAAGAGTCTCGAAATCGTCCGCAGCCATTTTACGCGGCGGCAGAGCGCCGTCATTGTTGACGGGGAAGATGCCTGTTCGCTCGCGGACGCTCTCGTCGACGAAGTCGTGTTCCAGGTTGACCTCGTAGCTCGTGGAGCCAGCATCGGAACGCTCGCTTCCTGTTTCGCTACCAGTGCGGCTCATGGCGGCACTCCGCAAGCCTGCGCCATTCAGCACGCCATTTCCGCCCCCGAGTCCGTTGGAAGACGCCTTGGTCAGGGTGCTGGTTCGCGAAGAAGCATCCAGGCTGAGGGGTTCCATCTGCAGACGCAGTTTGGCGATGCCCGAGACGGCAGGCGACGGGGCGGCCCGCAGACTGGGGCTGCAGTTTGCGCTGACGACGTCATCGATACGCGGCGGGCGGTTGTTTCGTCGCGAGGATGTGGTGGGCGGTGTCCGGCAGGAGCCGTAGTCCGAGTCCTCGTCGCCAGAGGTGGCTGGGGTGTGTTGGAAGCCGCGCACCGTGCTGAGCGCAGGAGTCGCCTTCGCAATCATGGTGCCGACGTTGGTGGGCGTGTTGTGATACTTATTGTAGTTGTTTCTTAGCTATCTTCGCCGCCGCTTTCTCAGGGCGGGCGTAAGATTCAAAGGGTAAGGGAGCAGCCGCGTCGGCGCTCGGGGTCGTCGCGAGGATCGCTCTCAATATGTCGTTGTTGCTTGAGGTGGCTTGGGCAGCGCATTTGGTGCTGAAGAGAAGCGATTTCGAAGTTTGGTGTGCTATAATGCATTTGGGGTCGATGAGGAATGTTGACGGTTCGCGTTTCGTAGGAACGTATCAGGGGGAGTGGTTCACCGAAATGGTGTTGAGGGAGAAAGAGGGAACCAGGTGAAACCGGGCAGGCAGGGAGACGAGTATTTTAAAATCGAGTTTTCCCATTCACATGCAGTGTCAGCACCAGTGCGGAATGGCAGGAGCCTCCTTGCCCAGTCTTAGCCTTCAAGCCAGAAAAAAACCCTCGGGCGGGTGTGACGCGGGCCGCTATTGGGCAGGCGCAGCTGGGGGCGTCACATTTGCCTTATTCCCCAGCGCAAGTGTCCCCAATGTCCCCAATGTGCCTGCCGCGCCTGACCAAATGGGGGTATTTGCGGGAGCCTGCCGCATTTCCTGCAACTGGAGACGGAAGGTGCCAAATCGGCAGGCATGGATCAGCGTTGTGCATCGAATGCAGGTCACAAGTTACAACGCGAATTGTAGGGCAGGTAGTAGTCGCAATACACATCATGGGAGTCATAACAAGAAGGCTGGGGGTTGTTCCTCTACTTGCGCTCCTATCCCAGTGTTCATGAGTGGAAATCGTCATCATGATTTGTAGTTGAGACTGGCTTGGGCAGCAACTTTGTCGCAGGTTAGGTGCGCGCTGTCAGTAACCCAAGCGAACCAGGATACATGTACAGGGTAGGTAGGCCTGGTAGGTACATAATAGGGTGGGGAGCCCAGAGAGTCCAGAACTCCAGTGCCTCAAATCGAGATGGAGGGGTATCGATGGATCTTTACAGTGGGGTCACCCGCTACAGACCGCCCTGTGGTACAGCCAGCAGGGGGGCGCCCTCGAGCAGCACCCACCTACCAGTGGGGTAGAAAAAGTCGCGGCGGCGAATAGAATCCCCGTCACCGCGTACGCAGCCTGGAAGTTCATAGGCACCAAGGATCCAAGCTGGTAGCTTGGTCGAAGCATGAGATCTTTCAACACCAGCGACCGAACTAAACGGAACCACGAGCACAGCCTGCGCTTGAAAAACCTCTCTTGGCCATTCGATACCAATCAAGCACTGTGCCCGCAACAAGTCGCCCACCATGATGCACCCGTCGCGCCAGGCGTATGTGGAGGAGATGGACGACGACCGGGGGATAGCTCTCGAGGATGTTCCCCTCGATCACGATTACGAGATCCCTTCCGCCTCCGCTGGTGTCGCGCCGGAAAAGGCGTCTGCCGTCATGGCTCAGTTTGAGCGCAAGCGATTGGCGGCCAGTATCGCTGTCCCGACCGACGATGGACGAGTACGCGCCAAACTGCGGGAGCTGGGAGAACCTGTCACCCTGTTCGGCGAGGGTCCTGCCGAACGGAGAGATCGATTGCGACAGCTTCTTGCTATTCAGAAGGAACTTGCTGGCTTGGAGGACGGCGATGTCGACATGGAGGATGCAGGCGACCAGGAAGACGAGGAGCAAGAAGAAGAGTTCTATTCGCGCGGTGGCCCAGACCTGTTGAAGGCTCGCATCGACATTGCGAAATTTTCTCTCCCCCGTGCGAAACGACGCGCCAAGTTTCAGAAGGCGGAGGCGACGATACCACTCCGAACACATGTCAAGTTCCGCAAAGAGATCAAGGAGAAGCTTGATGCCTTTGAGCTTCAGGGAAGTCAGACAGCGGGCGACCGTCATGTGAGCATGACTAGGCTGTCACCCAATGGCGAGATAGCGGCTGTGGGTAACTGGGGCGGAGCCGTGAAGCTTCTCGAGATCCCATCCCTTACAGAGAAGATGAATTTGAGAGGACACACCAACAAGATCAGCGGTCTGTCCTGGTACCCTGGGTCTACGTTGCCGGAATGCAACGTCTCCCCAGACTCGGTCAACCTTGCCTCAGGCGGTGCTGAGGGTACTGTCAACCTCTGGTCCCTCAACCAAGACACTCCTCTCTCCACTCTCCAAGGCCACAGCGCACGGGTGTGCCGTGTTGAGTTTCATCCGTCTGGGAAGTATTTGGCATCTGCCTCGGAAGACACGACGTGGCGGCTTTGGGACATCGAGACTACGGCTGAGGTGTTACTGCAAGAAGGACATTCACGAGGCGTATACGCCGTGAGCTTCAACTCGGACGGATCACTGCTCGCCAGTGCTGGTCTTGACAGCATCGGCCGCATTTGGGATCTCCGGTCAGGCAGGACTGTGATGATCCTAGACGAACACATCAAGCCAATCCATGCTCTGGACTGGGGTGCCGACGGCCACAGAGTTCTTACGGGCTCAGCAGACGGTTGGATCAAGTGCTGGGATGTAAGAAAGGTCCAGAGGACCGGTGGCCTCGGTGCGCATACCAGTGCAGTGTCCGATCTGAGATGGTTCAAGGGGCTCGACGATCCTGTGGACGGTGTTCCCCCGGGAGTTGATGAAAAGGGTGCCCAGCTGCCGAAGAAGTCCGGGACCTTCTTGGTTTCCAGTGGCTTCGACGCAAAAGTCAAGGTCTTCTCTGCCGATAACTGGGGTCTCATTCAGACATTGAGCGGTCATACGGGACCTGTAGCGAGTGTTGATGTGAGTAGAGATGGCAAGTGGATTGTCAGTGGAGGGCATGACCGGACTGTCAAGCTCTGGGGTCGTAACGATATGGAAGGCCTTTAAGGTCAGGGCGGACAAGGGCTCGAACGTTGGGAGCTACCGATACCAGATTTGATACCCAATAGAAGCAACGTGTACATGGACACATTCTCGTACACGAGTATTATGGTGCTCGGTGACGATGGGGCGCGTGTTGGGCTAGACTACTTCACAGCCATTTCCGCACGCAAGCGGCTGTCAGATCCACGATCATGGAAATCGGTGCATGAAGTTAGAATTTCATTCGAACACATCGCGTTACATAAACTGGCAGTGTTTCTCATATTGCTGGAGGGACACACTTTACTTTCATTGTCCGTCGTCGTCAGCACATTTCACAGGCCACGCAGCAATCTGCGTGTAAGTATGTAGGCTTGAATTCAGCTCACAGCACCTTGCCCCTGAATTACAACTGCAGTACCGCAGACCTCATGAGGGTTTCCTGAACATTAGATTGGTAGAATGGAAGCTTTCTGACCTCAAGCCATCAACATTAGTTTTAGTAGTGATTGAACCTTCATGCTGCCACATTAACACGAGGAATCATCCGGTACGTAAAACCGCCACCATGCACCCAAAGATCACGTGATGGAAGGTGGTGGATGTCGCGATTAGATAACGCGCTTTTGACGACCGCATCGCTTTCACGTCCCTCCATTCAGATTTCCATATTGACCAAAGGACATCCACCAGTGCGACAAAGAACACGGCGATCCTAATGCAGAGGTTTCCAATCCCGACCATTCAAATCGCTCACCCGATTATCTGTCGTTAGCATTCTACTATGGCAAACATCGACCGTTATCGGCCTCCGCGGGAAGGCTACCAGCCTCCCGTGCCTGCCGCGGCCATAGCCCGGTCCGCCGTGTCGCGATCACCAGTCAAGCAGCGCGAAGTCCCCCCCGCGGCCCCATCACCTCCTGCTCACTCGTCCCGGACATCACCTCCTCGGCCGCATGTGCGACGAGATGCGCCGGCATCACAATCGTCATCAAAGTCGGATGCACACATGACGGCCACGACGCCGAGGGGCCAGTGGTACTTCAGCCACGACGAGGTGCTGAGTTCCCCGACGATTCTCGATGGGATCTCACCTGCAGAAGAGCGTCTACGCCGCGCCAAGGGCGTCAACTTTATTTACCAGGCTGGAGTCATGTTGGACTTGCCTCAGATCACGCTGTGGGTGGCGGGCGTCTTCTTCCACCGGTTCTACATGCGCTACAGCATGGTGGAAGAGAGGGGCGGTATTCATCATTATGTGAGTTGCATCCTGATGTGGTCTCTGGGTTTCGTGTCGGACTAACGTTCTTTCCTCACAGAACATTGCTGCCACAGCGCTCTTCCTTGCAAACAAGACGGAAGAAAACTGTCGGAAAACGAAAGAAATCATCATTACCGTCGCCAAGGTGGCGCAAAAGAACTCACAACTCATCATCGACGAGCAGAGCAAGGAGTACTGGCGATGGCGAGACAATATTCTGGCATACGAGGAGCTCATGCTCGAGCTCCTGACGTTCGACCTCATGGTCGAGAACCCCTACCACCGGCTGTTCGAGCTCCTCGGCCAGCTCGAGCTGGTCCACAACAAGCGCCTGCGCCAGTCGGCCTGGGCCTTCTGCAACGACGTCTGCCTGACGACGATGCCCCTGCTGCTCGAGCCGCAGGATATAGCCGTGGCGGCCATCTTCTTCGCCAGCATCCACACCGACTACAAGATCTCCGACCGCAACGGCGAAGCCTGGTGGATCGCGCTCAAAGGCAACGAGTCGCGCTGCGCCCGCGCCATTGATATCGCGCAACAATTTTACACCGAGAACCCCCTGAAGAAGCAGAACCCTTCGCTGCCGTCGCCAGCTTTCGACATTGAGAGCACTCGCCGGCCTAGGGACCCACTGCCTGGTGACAACATGTCCTCGACGGCCGGGACCCCGCGGGACGCGACGCTGAGCCCAAGGATGCGCGCGGCTAATGGCCGGGACGATGCGACAGCGACAGAGTCGGGGTCGCAGGGGACGCACACACTTGGCGCCAGTAAGTCGATCGGCAATGGCGTTGCGTCGCCCGCTAAGAGGAAGGAGCTCGATTCGGACGAGGACGGACCGGAGCAGAAGCGCGCCAGGCTATCGGATGAAGACGAAGGAGAGGTGTCGGAGGACTGAGATACGAATTCTGTGACCACTTCGCCTCGGGCTCGAAAGGCGTGGTCAGGCTCAAGGCGCCCGTTTTCACTTTGCCACGTCTCGAGAGGGAAAGACGGTGTAACATAGCGGCATGTGAAACCCCCCCCCCCTCGGGTTGGGAGGGAGCATGGGCAGGGACTACTTTGGACCCGGGCCGGATTACGATAGGAGCATGGCGTTTATAGGACAATGGATCATGGAGGGGCCAAGATTGGTGATGGGGGGAGGGAGTTTGATGTTGCGAGAACATAGGTTCCGCCCAAAAACACCCTCCGAAACTGCTCTCGATACCAAGAACATAGCAAGCGCAAGCAGGATACCTTTTTTATGGACCGGGTCGACGGTGTATGAGATTACGTGACCTGGTGACAGCGGCTGGCATTCGGTGTTTTCTTTCTTTAATTCTACATCATGCAAACATCAGAGTCGTACATGACCTTCTTGCTGGTGCGCGATTGCCCCGAATCCCCTCGGCTGCACGAGTGGCCTTTTGGTGTGAATCCCCCCCCCCCCCCCCTGCATCTCCGTATCGGCCTCCGACAGCGTGCGCTCCAGCTCCGTTACTCTGGAGCGCAGCTTGTCGACCTGGACCTCGTCCTCGATGGACATCTTGCGCAGCGGTGAGCGCGGCGAACGCGAGAACATGGGCGACGCAACAGGACTGAAAAAATTGCGGGGCGATCGGCCGTCGCTACTGACCCCTAGAGGGAAGAACCCGGCGAAAAATGAATGTTGTGCGCCACCCTGATCTCCTTGATCTGCTCATCATGGCGCGCGATCCGGTCATCTGACGCTCTCTGCGCCGCGGAAACCCTCCTCTTCTAGCACACGGAGGCGGCCTTGCAAGCTAGCTATGCGCTCGACAGTAGCCTGGCGATCGATATCGCCACGCCCCACCG